GCAGACTGAACTGCTCAATCACGGGTTCCCTGTCTTCAGTGACACACTAGAACTCACAACCTTTAAATACAACATACTCCAAGAGTAGACACCTTTATGCATTGTTAGGAAGCAAGAGGTCCAAGAGCTAGCTGGTTCCACTGAGCGAGGCAGCTATGGCAACAGCCACCGCAATGAAAGATGGTTTTGTTACACGACGGCTGGATGCCCTTGGTCACTTGATTTCCTCTGGAACGAATTCTAAGCACTTCAGTGCAACAGCTAAATATCTGATCCGCACCACGTTAAGTGGGCGGGCAGCCAGCACATTGTGGAGTGGGTCAGACGGGCTCACAGTGGACTCAATCTCAAACTGCTGCCCAGAGGTAAGCAGTGCAGCCAGGTTGCCTGTGTGTTAATGTGAAGTGCCACCTCCGGCTCACTCCAAATTTTGCCACAGACAGCACCGATACCTCTAATCCCATTTAAAAGCTACTTTGCGATCCTGCGGAGAGGCACAGAATTCACAATGGAAGTCCGCCCGCATGATCACTTCCCCCAGAGCAGTACTAGTTGACTTAGGTGTCTTCAGAGCATCCTCTCCTCTTTGGATAGGCTGTTTAGGGAAGGTGGGGAGGACACAGGCCGCGAGTCCTGGACAGTTGTGGAATTAGCACCACAATCTACATAGTGATAGGTTTCCAAGGAGCTCTGAGTCACATGGCCGATGTAGGAGATTTTCACTGATGTTCTGGAAGAGAAAAAGGTTCGATTTAGCTCAGGTAGGACACATTCATTTAAATCCGCAATTAGCTGCAGAGACAGCCTGAGGAGATTCCTGAAATATCAGACCAAGGGGCAAGACAATTTGTAGCTACCCGCCCCCTCCAAAACTACCTTGGGCATTGAGGAATGAAATCAGTGATGCTGGTTAGTTGTGGGGCTTTTCCCCCCCTCTCAGATTTTCACATTATTGCAACTAAACGGTTCTGCACTCTTGGCTGGTGGGACCAGCTGCCTGCTGTAATTACACTCCCCCCTCTTACAGAGAGGCAGCAATCCACGCTGGACTACGCCCTAGTTCAGAGCGGGATCAAGCTTCCCGGGCCAAGACAGGCAAGCACCGAAGCAACAGGCTTGACACGATTTCACTGCTGCTAGTGGAAGGGAGGAGAAAACACACCCCTTCGATTATCAAAGGCCAACCCCCAACTGCCATCGACTCAGCTTCTCTTTGCCTGCAGCCAAGGCTTGTCTCTGCAGCCCCCTGACCGCTCCTGAGCGCCCTACTGCAGCCAAAACACTCAAACACAGGAGGAGAAATTATCTTCTAAAGATAATGGGGCAAACAATTAAGGGACCCATTTGCAAACATCTAGAAGATAATGAGGTGGTAAAAAACCAGCCTGGATTGGCCAAGAACCAATGTGTCTGTCTAACCCGAAAGCTTTCTTTGGCAGGGAAAAGAGAGAAGAGCAACCAAAATGTTTAAAGGTCTAGAACGGGGCTACCCAATATGCAGCCTGTGGCCCATTTGTTTGCGGCCCGCAGCGCAGTTCGGGTTTACACAGGGCTGAATGTGCAGCCCTCGGGTGGGAACCAAGACAAAAGAGCCGTCAACAGAATGGTCTTCTGCGGAGATGCATTTCAGTAGTTAAATTCCTGGACTGTCATTGCTCATTAACAGTGCTGTCCTATAGGTAGAAAGCAGGTCAATATTGCATTAATATCAGCAGAACTGACTTAAATGGGGCCTGTGTGTTGTGTAGTCCAGCCTTAATCTTTGTGTTCATGCCCGTCAGTGAAAAAAGCTATTTGCATATATATTTGCATGTATATGCAACCACACTTAAGTTGCGGCCCTTGGCATGTGCTATCATTGTGGTCCCTGGGGCTTCCAAAGTGGAGTAGCCCTGGTCTTGAACATTACCAATGAGGGAAAACTGAAAAAAGTTGATTTAGTCTAGAAAAGAGAAGACAAGGCGGGACATAACCGCTGGAATAAACTAACCACCCTGACAGGAAGTTTTTCTTAATATCCAACCTAAACCTTCCTTGCTGCAATTTAAGCCCATTGCTTCTTGTCCTGTCATTAGATGTGGAGGAGAATAATTTACTCCCTCCTCCTTGTAACAACCTTTTCGGTACTTGAGTGGCTATCTTGGGAGGCTGTGAAATCTTCATCATTGGAGATTTTTGTAAGAGCATGTTAGACTGGGGCGGGGGGAAAGGATCATGGTGCGTAGATGAAGCTTGGTCCTGCTGTGAGGGCAGGGGACTGGATTGGATGACCTCAAGGACCCTTCCAGTCCAAGGATTCTGTGGTTCTAGGATTAGATCCCTAGATCACAGAGATGGGAATCTGTATGCTAAAGTAAATGATGATGATACTGAAAGTTTCCTTTGATACAACCATGATCTGCTTTGCAATCACCCCTGCCCCAGAAGCCACCCTCTCCTATAGACAGAGAGCCACATCTTACACAACCATATCTCTTAGCAGCTGGCTCACCCCTGATACATGGAACTAGTTTGGGATGTTTGCCGCAAAGAGTCTGTTTGTGAGCCACAGTGCTTGTCCCAAGCCTGGACAAAGGAGCTGCTGTTCTGCTGAAAGGTTTTACTTGAGCGGGTCACGAACCTCGTTCAACAGAAATAGTCCAGTTAAACAACTTAGAGGCAGTAGGTGCAAACCAAGCCCACACCACAAGTGACAAATGTCAGAGAAAGCCAAAAGGAAACTGGTATCTCATGACATCAAACCCTGATGACGAAATCTGCACATCAGGGAAGATGTACTACAACTAGCTAGCGCCCACAATAGTTAAGGAACTGGACTGCCTGCTGGGTCAGCAGTGGAGGAGGTGCTCAAGTCTAAGATAAGGTCACTGCAATTCCATTTCCAGCCCGAGTGCAGTAGCACATATAAGAAATTACATACCTCATGAAAATCACTATGTTATGCACCTTGACCTTGGATAACGTACAAAAGAAACTGTAAGAAACAGACAAATATATTAGACTAACAGAGTTTGACCCATAACTAATTTGGAGAAATGCATTTTTAAAGTCCCTTTTTTGGTGTGGGTCTGCTCTGGCTGAACTGTCCAGAACCCTTAACGATTTTCTTTAACATTTGAAAAGTGACCTGCAAATGACCTGTCAGGTCTTTTATTTTTGGTCACCAGGAACAATTTAAATAAAACTGCAGAAGTCAGATCATTTTTCTCACTGATTTCCAGCTTAAACAGATTTCTTTGCATGTACTGCAGAGATAGACAATAAAATAATTCTTACTACACATAAGAGAAAGGTCCACCCATCTCTGATTTCACAGTGAAATTCACCTGGAAAGACAGCAAACAGAATAATGAATCCAAAGTTATAAAGATGGAAATAATCTTTAGTAAGTGAAGCCCCCCCTCCCTATTCATTATGTTCTCCAGTACTTTAACCAGCCCAACTATAAGAGATTCTAGAAAAGGAGACCACTCACCATTCACACAACTATCAGGCTGTGTCTAGACTGCATCCCTTTTCCATAAAAGGGATGCAAATTAGACACATGGCAATTGCAATGAAGCGGGGATTTAAATCCCCCCCCGCTTCATTTGCATAAACATGGCTGCCGCTTTTTTCCGGCTCGGAGCTTTGCCAGAAAAAAGCGCCAGTTTAGACTGGGATCTTTCGGAAAATAAAGCCTTTTCCGAAAGATCTTATTCCTCTTTAAAAAAGGAATAAGGGATCTTTCGGAAAAGGCTTTATTTTCCGAAAGATTCACGTCTAGACTGGCGCTTTTTTCCGGCAAAGCCCCAAGCCGGAAAAGAATGGCAGCCATGTTTATGCAAATGAAGCGGAGGGGGATTTAAATCCCCGCTTCATTTGCAATTGCCATGTGTCTAATTTGCATCCCTTTTACGGAAAAGGGATGCAGTCTAGACACAGCCTCACTGAATTAGGAAACAGAACACCACCACAGTTAACATTCATCTTGGGACAGGACCCAGCGATGTTGTAGTGTAAATGATTAATCAGTACATCTCAATGTCAGGAAAGTTCACCTTTGAGCCAGGATTCTCTATTGTTTAGTTTCAGCCTAATATTTCTGGTTAAACTCTCATTTGATCCCTATAGACAAATTTCTCCCTCCTCTAGCCATTCACAGCATTCACATATTTGTCAGCCAACCTACCAAAAGTGACTCAAACCAGGTTCTTTTAGCCTTTCTTCTCAAATCAGCCCCTTTCCTCCCCAGCAGAATTTCTGTTGTCTGGATTTTCTCCAGTTTCTCAGCATCTTTTCCCTGGAACCCACCAATACATTCCAGTATAGTTTCACCAGAGCTGAACAGACGATTACCTTGGCATGCTACTTGTGTGTGTTGGTCACAAAAAGTACATACGATTCGGGCAGAGGAGGGACTGGCCATTGACAGATCACTTGGCAAGCACTAAGACTAGTAGATCCCAGTATCACTGCTTTCCAGTTACTTCTGGACTAACCTACCATGTTAACTTTTGGAAGACCAGTTCAAGTTCAATCATTTTTAAACCACCATCAACTTTTCCAGTGCCTAACCCACATTCCCCCCCCCCCCCCCCCCTCATTTTTTTTTAGAATGGTTAACTCCATGGGGCAGGAGCAGCCCCCTGTTCCCAGCAGGTGGGGAGCTGCTCCAGCCCCCATCAATTAACCTTTCACGTCCTTAAAGCATTGCAGGCCCTTAGTTTTTATTAACACATCATGCTTTATGGCAGGGGGAGCAGAAGGGGGTGCTAGACTACTTCCTTCTCCAGTCAGCCCATATGTCTTTATCCTTATCCCACCCCAATTCTCCATTTCCAGCACAGATGGCTTTTAGCCTCCCAAGAGGCTGGTCAGAAGTGTGAATCTCCTCCTCTGCATTTTAATGCAGCTATTGCCCTTCCGGTAACTGCACGAGCTGGGAGGAGGGAAGCAGGGGGAGAAGGGAGGGTGGCTCTGTGCACAATGTCTAGCTCGCAGGTGCCTCAGCCTTAAGTCATCCAACTTTTTCAGCTGGAGGCACTTGGCTTTGGGTCACTTCTAGTGGCCAGGAGCACCAGCGGGACAGGACGGTTTCATACTCTCTACAGCTCAAAGCCCAGCTCATACTCCAGAAAGGCTGTAAATACCAGTTTGTCACTCAGCGGCTGGATGCGAGACACATTGGTCATCTGATGGGTTCCAACCACAGTGTTCATGTACTGCACCTGACTGGCTATGCTGGTTACTGCGACTGAATAGAAGTTGGAGTTCTTAATCCTCAGGGTGGTCTGTATCGAGAGAGAGAGAGAAGACATGTCAGAATCTGAGTCCTCCAGAGTCCAGCAGCAAATTCACTCCAAGAACTAGACAGAACTTTACCGTGATGGCAAGAATGACAATGGAGTTTTTCTGGTCAAACCACACTTGAACCACTTTGATTCCCTCATCCTCCACAAGGACTGAGTGTGGAAACAGGAAGAAAACAACCAGCCCTGAGACCAGGAGGCAGAGCAGCACAGACAGCAATACGTAGAGCTTCCTGCAGGGGACATGAAAGTTTTACACACTTTGCCCTGACACAGCACCTGTGATTGGCAACTCTCACTTTGCAAACAGGAACTTACTTTAAAGGATCCATGGAAGGTACAAAGCGTATTATCCACATTTCAGATATGAATAAACTAAAACCAGGCCCACCAGTTTGGGGGAGGACCCCACCCCGAGGGAGTAACTGTCCCGTGGCCCCGCGATTCTAAAAAGCCGGGACCTCTTGGCCACTGGTGTTACTGCTCTTTAGAATAGCCACTCTAGTGCCAGGCAGAGCACTCCAGAGCTCTGAATGGCTCTGGGGACCGGCTGCCACAGCCCTGCCCCTTCTACCTGAGGCCACGCCTCTTCCAAGAGCAGAGAACCCACCCACATTGCCCCAGGGCCTGGCAATCCTGTCCACTCCCCTAATCAAGACACAGAGGGACTAATCACCCAGTCACACAGCAAGTCTCTGCAGCAGCCGCGAAGAAGCCACTGAGCTATGGGGAACATCCAGGTAGCTTAACTGTAGTATTTGAGCACTTCACAATCTTGAATGTATTTATCCTCACAATACCTCATAAGATAGGGCACAGCTATCATTCCCATTCTACATGTGGTGAAACAAGGCTCAGAGATGCTAAGTGACATGCCCACAGTCAAAGAGACGGTAGGTGGCAGAGCAGGGGAATTAACTCAGACCTCCCAAACCTTAGATTAGTACCATCCTTCCTCTCTCTCACCAAGTCCTGGCTTGTTTGTTTAAAGTCAATAGGCAGCGTTTCCTCCCATACAGAGAGACTAGATCACCAGCTGTTACTAAAGAAGTTCCAGATATATGAAAACACTCTAAAAACCAGGAGAAGAAAAAAGGATTCAAAGAATAAGGGGAGGGAGGAGGAGAGGGAGGTGCAAGCAGCTTAAACAAACTCCCAGCATGCACCAGCTCCTGGAGAAGAGTCTGCCATCCCACATGTAATCCCTGCAATTTTCTTATGGTTACCCAGGTAATCAATTACAAACATTTTAACATCCCTAATTAAGACTATTTTAGTCTGTACTTACGTTCTCTGAGGACGTAGCCTCTGGTCGCTGTATGGTATTAGAGCCACCAACTCATTTACCTGGTCTAGAAGACAAAAGGAAAAAGCTGTCAGTTCCATCCATTTGTAAAGTAACCGTACTCCCTAAAACTGAGGCCCTCGGAAACAACTGAAACTTGCCAAGGGTTTAATATCATATTCCCTCATCAAGAGCAGGAAGGTGCTTTTCTAGTCTGTAACGCATAATAAAGACACCATGGCTATCAGTTGGCAGGGCTTGGATAAGCAGTCTCACTGCCTCATTGCCGTAAGAGATAAAGAACACTTGGGATAGAAGTCTCATTATTGGGCCAATCTAACCTAAGAAACCTTTTGGTTGTTAGTCTAGTGTTTAACACACAATTTAGGAGCTTAAGTTTTGGGAAGTGAATCAGGCTTTTCAGAGGGAACTTCCTAGGAGATATGGGATAAATGGAAACCAAATTCAACAGAAACTATTTTCTACACTAAAGTCCCTTCAATAACTTTTTCTGTTCAATAAGAGAAACTCTCTCATACATTTAAGGTTTAAACCACAACATCCATAGCCTGCTTTTAAAATTATCTTACCCCTACATTACCGATGAGTGTTCAATATATTCAAACAGTAGCAGAAAGAGAGAAACAAACAAGGGCACCCAAATACACTTCACAAGAGATTCGGAAATGAAAGCAACATTTTGAACCAGATCCTAACATGAACAGGAGTTTTACTAAATAAGCACGGTTTCTCACCCATGTGTAAAATACTTTTAGGATTCAAGTTTCAATACATATAGGTTCACCTGTGGGAATACAGCCAGTGCCTTGACAAGTTGGACAGGTGATGCTGTCTCGACCTGTGAACTCAACATATGGAAACTTGGCGATGTCTTCCTCACGGTCTCTGCTGTCTAGGAAGTCCTCATCATTCTCTCTTCCGTGCCTGGAAGAGGCACCATCACCAAAAGAGAATGAACAGCCCATGTCAACAGATGAAGAGTAGCTGCATGTCCTAGAACAAAAAGTGGTGACAAGATAAATGCTCATCAGACAGGACCTGTGAACTCAACATATGGAAACTTGGCGATGTCTTCCTCACGGTCTCTGCTGTCTAGGAAGTCCTCATCATTCTCTCTTCCGTGCCTGGAAGAGGCACCATCACCAAAAGAGAATGAACAGCCCATGTCAACAGATGAAGAGTAGCTGCATGTCCTAGAACAAAAAGTGGTGACAAGATAAATGCTCATCAGACAGGACCCCCAGACCTACGTGTCTGGCCCTCCCCCCACTGCGTTACCCCTCCCCCCTC